AGAGTCGCTTGGCCGATTTTCATTGTTTAAAAACAACGCATTCGCAAGATATTGCAACTCATCCATTAAGTATATAAAAGTTGATTTTACAAGATTTGGAACAGATATATCTACAAGGACGAGCCGGACAGCACAAAACATTGATGTAAGCATTCTAAGTTTGACAGAGATCGGTATAAAAAAGCGTAGATTTCCGAGCAAGATTTAACATGAGGCATTAAACAATTTGCAAAAACACATCTAAAATCTGTTAATAAAATGCCATAGACGAAAACAGTTTCATGCCAAGGTTGAAAAGACAACAAACAAATTGGATTAAAGTTAATTAAAAAGTAAGGAATTATGCAAAGTAGTACTGTAAAACACTTTCATCGAGCATCGAGAGAGGAGATCCTAAGGTAAGATTGTGAATATTTAAAAACGGGCACAACTCCTCAAAACAGCGTTGAATCAAAATGTCATTTAGGAAAGATAACTTCAGTTAAATTTTCAAACTAAGTTTCGAAGGAATTGGTCGAAAACGAAGCGAGAAGACATATGCTGATAAGGTCAGTAATTTCCCTAAAAAGTGTGTAATCAATTTTCCGTCGAGGAAAACTCAATTTCAAGCTATAGTCATACAACAAACCTAGTTGAAAGAGATCGGTTGAAAACGGAGGGAGGGTATCTCCGAACTTGATTCAGAAGAAAATGTCTAGTACATGTAACCCTTAAGAATACAGTTATAACAAACTGCAGTACCGAATAACATAACTGGATGTCGTTATTATAAAGCCTTTGGAGTTTTAAAGAGATGGATTAAAATATATAGGATATCCCGGACAAGTTTACGACGGAAAATTGGACAATGCCATACCATAATACTTCCCAACAAAATGATTTTGATAAACGCATAAAAATGTTGTTAACTGGCACAAAGAAGTTCCCATTCAAAGTAAAATAATTAAACTACGAAAGCGTTTATCGGACGTTAAACAGAGCACCAATTATTCACATGACAATTTAATAACTACTAATTATAATGAAAGATGCACAAAGTAAACCTGAGCGAATATGGACGCTTGCCTAAAAGTATGTTGTGTGGCAAATTTAAAGAGAAAAAAATGCATTCAATTTTTATTCTCGCAAACTTTTTAAAACCAATTTTGCGCCTGGTATTATTTTCCGGAAATGAGAAAATTTGTATCGATTTGAATGAAAAGGTTCATGAGCACTCTACACATGGAATGCTGTCCGACAGGAAGTTATCGGTATGATAATCTGAACGACAGTGCGGGATTGATTTTAGAGGTAGGATTTCCTCGGCGCCAAATGCTTGTTATTAAGCAATTCAAAACCAATAGAAACACTCAGTACATCCACGCTACATGTATGAATCAACATCAACATTGCAAATCAGCATCACTAAAACGTTTAATTTCCGTTTTTCTCAGATGAAGATTTTTGTTCCGTAGAACTTGAAGACGCCCTACGTATTGGCTTAAAAGAGCTTCATCTCGGCCGCTTCTACTCATCTGTTGACATAAAAGAGCTCCATATTTTATTCGAAATCATTTAAAGTACATAAGAGGCATGTTTATGATACAGCAGAGTTAATAATCTAAACTAAAATTTGTACTGAAAGGGCCTATTCACTTGTGGGTGTTTTGTACAATCTTTAAAATTACAATATTTACTGATGGTGCACTCTATTAGTTCCGAAGTATAGAATATACATGTAATTGGCCACTCTCTTGTAGTAATTCAATTGTTAAAAGACAAGGTTTGTTTAGAAATCTAAACCTATTTATGAAATGTAAAAACAAAAGGAAATCATAGCTGTGAAATGTAACACGTGAATATCGACATTTCTGTCAATAAAGCGCTTATGAACTCACTAGTTATATTTGCATTGTAGATTTTACAAAAAAAAATAATCTTTCTTGAATTTACCAACTAAAATCTACTTGTCATTGCGCGATATCGGCTTAAGAGATATGTAATCAGCGCAAAACCAAGAATAAAAAACCAGAATATCAACATCATCACTATTCAGACTCAAATTAAATAACCCCAGTGCAAAGGATGAACAACAAATATATGGAAACTACTTGAAAAATAACAAAGAGAATACAAACACGTGTTCGGAAGAGTTAGCGTAATCTGCCTCATCGACGACACCCACCATGTAATTCATGATCAATCAAAGTAGGTAATGTCACGTTTCCAAATTGGAACAAACTATACAACGGGACCAACAGGCAAACTAACGTGTTTTAAACTAGCTGTAGAAAACAAAGTTTTAAAAAAAATACATCATCTTGTCACTATTCATGTAAACAATAAACACGCTTTTATAGTGGAATAACAGCATAGCATCACCAAATGTTATCTTTTATTATAGTGTACAAGAAATTTCTCTCTTTCAAAGTTACCCAAACTTACAAGAAGACGAGTCAAATGAATAGGAAGCACGTGCACTTTTCCTGAAGACAAATATGACAAGTTAGGAATCCCATTATGAGATGCAATGTGTCATGGGAATAGCCGTTTCAGCAAAATCGTCAAATGTCAGCCGATTTCCCCTATGTTCGTCTTCCTTTATTACGACTTAGTGAGAATATCTATTTTGTTGGAAAAGATATATACAGCTAATTGATTGTTCGAGCCTGTGGCCAATTTTACAACAGGACAAAGCTGTCTGTTACACACAATAAGGATGCGACGATAACATGGTGTAGCCAGAAGTCATATGTTATCAGATGCTCTTTGAAACTAACGAGGAGAAAAGGAGACTGGCGTATAGTACATTATCTTTGAAAACATGGGTTTAGACCAAAGGCAATTTTTCTTAAAAGGCTTTAGTGAAATTGGCATGTGAACTTTAAGATGATCATTTTTACTAAAATGTCCTGTCGATATATATTAAAGCAGCTAGAATCGGTAAAACTTATGTTTAATTAAACCAAACATTTATACGATGACAATTATATAGCAGGTGATGACACTTCAGTGGAGACACGGGGGCTCTTGTTGATGCACTTTACTGTTCATATATCATTATTATCTTAGTAATTATTATTTTTGTACTCTTATGTTCTAACATTATTTCCTATTGTTTTATTTACATTTTAAACACTCTCCATAGGTGTCTTTTAGGTGTTAACATTTGTAAACACTAACATCATTTTTAATCACATGTAACGTTAGGTGCTCTATCATACAACTGTAATAGTTTATACAAAGCTGCCAGATTAACTTCGAATAAAAAGCATCGCTTTCTCAACACTTTTTCGTAGACTTGACATCTTGCAATTCTTCTCTGAAAAGGCGAGCACATGTCTGTGAATGAATTACATTAATTTAACGATATTTGGGTATGATTCCAGACATCTACCTCCTCTGCCTTATGTAAAGGTTGGTATTACCATCCATTAAGCTGTCGACAAATGTCAATGACAAGGGGACGTATTAACCATGTATATAGTCACTGGTCATAGATGTGTAACTAGTGTTTGCTTAAACTATCCACTTCACACATTCCAGAAGAGAAGGCTAGACAAATACTAAACGGAGCGTATATGTACTTCTCTTCCACTTTAGCTTATTACCTATACACTGTAATTTCCTATTTAAAATCATTTCAATTCCTTTCCATGATTAAAAACTACCCTCCATATAATGAAGTTACACAATTGTAAGGCATTATAAGCAATTTTCGTTAGTGAAATTTTCAAGAAGGCATGTGTTAACAAATTGGAGAAGAGGTGCGTTCCGAAAACTTAATCAAAAGAATAGGTCGAAGCAGGTCAGAAAATACATCAGTCTGGTATGCAGCGTACTATAAATGCATATGAATGTAGCGGCTGATGAAAAAGGTGGTGAAAAAATTGCATACAAAATCTTTTTCATGTTTCTTTTCAGCTAAGAAGAAATGTTAAAATTATTGTAAGGAACAATAGTTGTTACATGATAGGCCAAATCGGATGTAGCCAGATAACCCCTTTTTTCACACTGCTTTACTACATTACTTTATTATCACTATATTTAGGCACAACACAATGGTACCTCCTCTGGTACGCAAAAATCCCTTCTTGGGTGGTACCTACATACCAAGTCAATATATCAAAGTTAAATATTTGCAATATCTTTATTAATTTTTACTCTATTTAATTATGTTTTTTTCCCTCTCAATTTCGTTTTTCTCATCGTCATCGTCATCTTTAACTTACTTGGATTGTCCACGATTTACATAACAGATGTAGTTGATAAAGCAGAAGACCTTTTATGAACAAAATGATTCTCCTTGTACATTCTGTTGTCCATATATGTTGATAGTTTCTACGAATTTGAGTATCAATTAAAACTGACCGAATCGAATTTTCTTTGTTTGTTTTCGCTTTGTATTAGCCTTTTCGATGTATTGTGTTGGTGGAAATTTAAAGACATATAGATAAATATATTACTTGTTTGTCCTATTTTATTGAAAAGCACGCAATATGACCATTAAGGCCCTCGTCAACAAGATTTTGGTTATTAGATTTGCTGTTACTTTGACTTCCTTGAAGCAGTGAAACTTGCGTGGAAATTTAGTCATTAATTTGTCTATACTCATAAATATCATAATGTAACCGGGAAAAGTAACGCCCTATCAAATCATGACATCGAGATTAAAAAACGAAAGTGCGGAAAAAAAACCCAGAAAATACCAACACGGTAACATCATCGAAATCAAATCTTAAATTTCATAAAACTAGGATAAAATATGAACAAAAGAACGAATCACACTGAAGCTCCTCAACAATTGCAAGGAGAATAAGACCTGGTGTTCCTGAAGCATATTCTACTTGTGAACATCGAGGCAGCAAGTAAAATTCATTCATACCATTCTGTCGGAAGGAAATTATCATAAAGGCGGACATAGTGACTACACAATATACGATGATGTTAAGTGACCGTATCACATGTTTACTGTATTGTAACGATCTCACACAGGCAGCTGTTTAGCAGGGACAAAATACCTCGATATGCTGGCAGATGGTAGTGTTATTTCTTAAGTAGTCCTTGAGGAAGCGAATGGTACATTTCAGCACAGCTGATGGTCTACAACTCCCAGCTAATCCTATAAGGCAACGTCATGTCAATCAACAAGCGCAGACGTCAGAACATAAAAAAAAGAAAAATATAATTCTGAATTACCACTAAAGCAGATAGGAAAACTAATAGCATTATCAACACAAAAAATTCGTTAGAGCTAACACCTGTACAAGAATGGCGAACCAACAGGCGTTAGTGAAACACTCATATATATGCTCATATCTTGTAATAAAGACTGACTGCTTTCAAATAGTCCAGCATTTTATATATATATTTTATGTTTCAAAAAAAAAAAAAAAAAAAAATTATAGAATCGCTATGCAACAATAAAATGATCTTGCAATTACCGTCAAATTAAACATGCTTTATTATTCCATTAAATTCAAAAAGAGAATCGATGTTAGTCGTAGTTTTAGATAAAAATTATATTAACAAATTGGCAACATTGTTCATTGATAACTGACCTTTAAGCTTTGGAGCGACTTCCGGTGGTGTCTGGTGTTGGAGAGCCGTAACCTTGTCTATGACCTCTTGTCTGACGGGAGAGTGCGGGCGTGACCTGTCAAAGGGAGGACGTCTTAATGACAAAATTATCATGAATACTGCTTGGCGAGTGTTTCTGCTAGCGGGCATTGTTTCCCATCAGGAGTATGGATCATGTTCAATGTTATATAAACAAGTAACAGATAGCAATATATATATATATTTTATCATAGTTTACGAAGTAAACCTTGTAAATCTAATCGTGTCATTTGTTTAGGTATTCCAAACGTCTGCTTCTTCAACATATATTCCTGAATTTTCACAGCATTTTATTTTTGTTTTATTCTTATCATTTGGAAGTAATGCCGGTTACCTAATGATGAGTTGCAAACTATAAATTGTGTGAAATTCCACAAGTTTGTTTCCATATTTATTCTTTAATTCAAACCTGAATGAATGTATCTATTCTTTCTCAAAAAATCAAGACACACTCACTAGCCAAGCAAGCCCAAAATAAATATGAAATTGACCAAATGTGTTTTCTATTCTGTGACCAGTGTTATTGATAAAATGTATCGGTATAAAATATTATATCAGTAAAGAAAATCTTGTTCTTTCTTCAAATGAGCAACAACAAATTAAATCTCCGAATTCGAATCTTCGTTTTCCTCTCCTAAGTCTGGAGATTAGCAGTGACCGAAAAACTCTCCCCGATTACAGAGTTAACCTGTCGTTTATAGTTTTATCATTAGTCAACTCAGCCTAGACCTTTGCATTGTTTACTTGTAAACGTTGAGTACTACACGGCTATGTTTTCCCGGGAAATAATTCCTCTTTTCCTGGTGGGAATAATTACCGTTTCAACGATGACTGATACAAGCAAATGCTTAACGGTGACTCAAATGTTGATTTTACGAAATAATTCTGAACAAATCACAAACGTTCTCTTCCTAGATGACACCAACCTTCCTTCCAGTAATATTTGATGTACTACAATTAGATCGTGTTGTAGTTAGTGTTTGTTTAATGTTTGTCCTGAATTTATTCCCAGATATATTCCCTTAAATTTTGAAACCTTATAATCATGCATAACTCATTTTGTTGCATAATGTTTCAATATTTCTTAAAATTTGTTTTTTAGTAAAAAAGCAGGAAAACCCGTTTTGGTACCTTTTTATCCCTGAACTTGTTAACACGTTTTCTACAACATTTCATTATTTGTCGTACACTGCATGGTAACTAAAATGTTAGTTTGAGCAAATTTTCAATGTAATTAAACAAAAATTTTCAAACGAATACATATGTCAACTTGTTTCATTAAACGATGAAAAGGGAAAATGTACTTTTGTCCCTGTATAGGTAATAAAAGAGTTTTCAGAAACAATACTGTGACATGTTAATTCTGAAATAAGCCAACGGATATAAAAAACGAAGAAAAAAGTTCTCCTGTTAATACACAATCATACACTATTATTACAAATTGAAAGAAAATATGATATTTCGGTTAAAAAAAAAGTCTATAGCCTTCATGTAAATCAGTGCATCGCTCTGTTATATTCTGTCGTCGATCTTTGAACTAATTAATTACAGAAGGGAATGGCGCAACATTAAGTCGCACATATCACTATGGAATTGTAAAACAAGGTTTAATACATACTGAAAAAATGAACTCTAAAGATTCAAGCATCGACATAACTAAACGTATACATATTTAGACCAATACAGGATTTGATATGGTTAACAGAGAAATACAAGAAGGAACCCTGTTTTATCCATTTAAATGAAATCATGACTAAAATACCCGCAACATTTTGAAGACGTATCACTATTAAATCTGAAGGTGTCACAAAACATCACTTCCATTTACTATCCAATTTTCATCATCACACTTCCCAGTCATGACTTCTGATCCCGACATATACAGAGATTACAAGGCGACGGTAATGAAAAAAGGGTGTACTGTGTTGGGTTGACCAAATCCCTAACTGACTAGAATACAGTCCAGACGAAATAGGCAAATTCCAATTGTTTTCGGTATTGATGTATTTCCACGGCAACGCCATTTCGTGTGTTCAAAGCGTAATTGCATTAGACAAGAATGCTCTCTTAGAAAAGGAAATTACCATCGTAAGGTTTAAAATAGGAACCCGAGCGCTCACTGGCTGATTTATGCCGACACGTCGAGAGTCTTTTGGTAAGAAAGAGTTTATTTAGACAGTGAAAACATGTGTTTACCATTTTCTGGTTTGTTTCAAAGTCTTTTAAGACAAAGAAAATTGAAAGTTGTCTTAATTTGTTTTGTCACTAAATTATCAATTTTTAAAAAAAATGTTAAGTTTTGTTAAAGCTTCTTCAATGAGAGTTTGTGTTGTTGTTATGATACATTCTAAATATTGAACAAGGACGAGAAAAACTTAAGTTAAGGCCAAAACAAATGATGAGGTTTTGTGGATTTAGTCATTTACATCTGCACATGTTTCTAAGGATATTAATACCGACCTTAATTAACATGTTTCGGATATTGCGTCACCTTTGTTTACATTTTTTCATGCCATTGTCTCCATAGAGATTCAAAATTTAATTACTTTACTGATTATATCTCAACTGAACGAAACCATGAATCATGATAAGTTCCTTCAACTTTAGATTGTATGTCTTGAATCATGACTTAGGCTCCTCGGAATGGCCGGCGTATACAGATTACGTACAAAAATGATAAAGCAAAACCCTAGTATCATCACACTTAAATGACATACAGTTGACAGGACAGCAAGGCATCTGCCTTATCACCTTGACAATTAACGAGCCGCCTTCCTTACCGAATCATCATTTCAAGTTGAACATCGAACATTTCCTGCCTACGTTAACGTTCAACATTAATGTAAGGCTATATAATACAAACATGAAGCTTCTTATTGTTGGAAATAATATATTTTTAATAAACCACAAAGGACGTTATAACTGCAATATGTTAAGGGGTGAGACGATACACTTCTCATGGTTCTCAAGCAGGGACGGCTTAATTACATTATAACGGATGAATACAAGTTTGAAACAAAAAGAAAATGATGAAACAGTAATTACGTTGTTTCTTTTGATACTATTTTACCTAACTATGTTGAATTTGAGTTTGAATACTGATAACGTTCACACGTTACATTTTCACCAATGTCCATGTTGGACCTTCATGAAATGATTCAAAGATTCCAAGCATTAATGTTTGTGATGCATTGATCGTGGCAGTGATTTGATTTCTTTTATTTTATTCAATTTATAGTTTGTCTTTGATCTTATTTTTGATCTTACGATATATTCGTGGTTGCGCGATCCCCGTGAATGTCTCTATTCTAACTTAATATGAAATATCGCTATACTTTACCTTTGAAGAATGAATAATTTGATATCATCATCACTATTGTATCCGTCAGTCACGCGACGATCATGGATTACAGGTTTATTTCCGGCTACAGGTCGAACCGGATGTGGCGAGTAGGTAGCGGATGGGGGTCGAAGCCCTATAAGTCCATCAACAGTGTCGCAGTAAATGAAAATCAACAGCAGGTTAAACACCTATAAATGGAATAATACAAACTGTCAGTCAAACATGTTGAAAATGAAGATTGTACAGAAGGCACACAAGTAAATAACACCTTCAGGTAAATTTTAGAGTTAGATTCAGTACAGCAAAATAATGATATGAACTACATCATACAGTTGTCTTTTATGACTTTTCTGCGGTACTGCATCATACAGTTGATTGTCCTTTTAGAACACGTCAGTAATGCTACATCATACAGCTGTTTCGTCTTCTAGGACTCGTCAGTGATGCTACACCATACAGCTGATTGTCCTTCTAGGACACGTCAGTGATGCTACACCATACAGCTGTTTCGTCTTCTAGGACTCGTCAGTGATGCTACATCATACAGCTGATTGTCCTTCTAGGACACGTCAGTGATGCTACACCATACAGCTGTTTGTCCTTCTTGGACTCATCAGTGGGGCTACATCATGCAGTTGTTTCGTTTTCTAGGATTCGTCAGTGATGCTACATTATACAGCTGAATATCCTTCTAGGACTCATCAGTGGGGCTACATCCTACAACTGTTTCGTCTTCTAGGATTCGTCAGTGATGCTACATCATACAGCTGTTTGTCCTTCTTGGACTCATCAGTGGGGCTACATCATGCAGTTGTTTCGTTTTCTAGGACTCGTTAGTGATGCTACATCATACAGCTGTTTGTCCTTCTAGGACTCATCAGTGGGGCTACATCATACAGCTGTTTCGTCTTCTAGGACTCGTCAGTGATGCTACACCATACAGCTGATTCTCCTTCTAGGACACGTCAGTGATGCTACACCATACAGCTGTTTCGTCTTCTAGGACTCGTCAGTGATGCTACATCATACAGCTGATTGTCCTTCTAGGACACGTCAGTGATGCTACACCATACAGCTGTTTCGTCTTCTAGGACTCGTCAGTGATGCTACATCATACAGCTGATTGTCCTTCTAGGACACGTCAGTGATGCTACACCATACAGCTGTTTCGTCTTCTAGGACTCGTCAGTGATGCTACATCATACAGCTGTTTGTCCTTCTAGGACTCATCAGTGGGGCTACATCATGCAGTTGTTTCGTTTTCTAGGATTCGTCAGTGATGCTACATCATACAGCTGATTGTCCTTCTTGCACTCATCAGTGGGGCTACATCATGCAGTTGTTTCGTTTTCTAGGACTCGTTAGTGATGCCACATCATACAGCTGTTTCATGATGCAAAAGGCCGAAAGATAGACGCCTATTAGATGACTGAGGAAAACGGAAAGGAAAGCCAAAAAAAGGATGGGAATGTGCACTAGGCCCTTATTTCTAGTACGCGTGTATATTCTGAACTGTGTAACTATCAGAATGATTTACAACATTAAATCTGTTTGATATAGCAGTGACAAACAATAATTCAAATTATATCATACGGCTGTTTCGTCTTAATGAACTATATCAAAAATGTTTTATTTCCTTACATTTTTCTCGATTATTGGACCTCAACTTAGGGGGATTAATGTTGTAATCGCCCTTCCTTGCGTGCGTCCGAAGTTTGATTAATATAAGTGATGAACATTTGTGATCTTGATTTTATTTTGATACTTATAAGTCGATGTGATGCGGTCAAAGATCAAACCTGGCCACGTTCGAGATAAACATAGTATATCACTATAATCAAAGTTCAACGAAGAAATCTTTGTAATCTATGGACGAATTTATCATAAATACATATATACAAGAAAACCAAAAGCTCAAGCTGTCATAATTGTTAAATGCAAAACTTTTCGAAACATTGTTTATAATATGTAAATAGACACGTACGTATAATGTATTTCACTCTGTCTGAAGCAAAGTCAAAATACATCAAAGGTTTGATATGCACAAAGATATATCAATTACTAGTATCGATTCAACGCCACAACATATTGGCGCGTATAGATATGGTAAAATCACAGCTGGTGGAAGATACAAACGCTATCCTGTCATGAATTAACAATGACGTCAGATTAGTGGAGATATTCTCCTAAGCCCGAGCGTCTAGATGGAAACTATTCAATAATCTATAAACACATTGCAAAGGAAAGAGAAAAAACTCTTGTTCGGTCTTGTTGAATAATTAATGTACAGGTCGTGACGTTATGCATGAACGTCTTCATGTACGCGTTATAGGAAATCAGTAGAGAGAGAGAGAGAGAGAGAGAGAGAGAGAGAGAGAGAGAGAGAGAGAGAGAGAGAGAGAGAGCAAAATCTCAATTTATACTTAAAAAGTAGGACAATTGTTTTTTTAGTTTTGTATTGATAAAAATGAATAAATAGCAGATATAATGACTTAAGCTCAATTGTTATAATCTTTAATATCTACCACAAAAATGTCAGACATCGCAAGTATCCAAACACATCACTTCAAAATTGATTATAATGTAAACAATTCTAGAAGTCTTCATTAACCACACTGTAGTGGCCGGTTAGATTCCAATATGCCCTAGCTCCTAATCAATTTAATCAAAATACAGCATTATCGTATGTTCTATAAACAGTAGGACAGTATCTAGTGCAATTTCTAACACAATCCGTTAGCAGTGGCCACTCCAGATTTCAATTTCAGATATTTAATATTGGCCAACAAGAGTCGCATCATAACTTCCACTTAAATGATAATTAACCATTGAATGAAAGCTAGGATCTTACAAAGACAAATCCAGATTGTAGTACTAAGCATGATTTTGGACTGAATAAAATGGTTTTCATACATTCCTAATGTACCGATAATTACTGTTTTAAGTTTACGTGTTCTTATTTCAAGATGTGGATAGTACACATCTATGCATGAACAGAATTCTGACGCGAATATACGAACGTTTAGAGATGTCGATTTATTCAACGCGTGCGGGTTTTCCGGTGTGACGGACGAATCGGTATTAAATCGTACAAAAATAAGTGTTGCATGAGTAAACACAAGAATTAGATCTGACTGAGAATCTTCAAAAACATGTGCCGTAGGCAGAAGGATGACATTCAATGGGTTTTAGATATTCCATGGTATGTTGTTTTTAAAGACGATTAAGGCAATACCAGTGTGACGTTTGCATATTGACTCTTGGTAATCGATGATACATTAATCTGTTTTAAAACAGTAATTCCTTGGCCCAGCTGTCCACACTGCATGATTCGTCGGGAACTGATGCTTTCTCCTTTCTCAAAGGCACTATTTGTTCCAGGAATTATATTATACAAGTCCATCGTATATAACTACCAAAATTGATAACCAAGGACATGACAAACTCGACATCTTTTCCTACAACGAAATCAACAAAAACAGCTTTCCACGAAACTATATCATAAGCGTGATAATTTCGATGTCCCTATTGTGAATTTTCCATTTCTGGATAGCAACACCCCATCATCCCCAACACATGGTGTTTACATGTCGCAGGTAATTTGATATTCAAGGGCATATTTCCATTATCACTATTTTCGTGCATGTAGCCGTCAACTGAGAGGCAGTGTGTCACGGGGTTTCAAAAGATGAAGGTTTCCGAAAATTTTGGGAACGTTTTACAGTCGACATAGTGATTTCATTGAGACATATTCTACTTCTTTATACGATAGTAAGCTGGATATGTTTGATGCTCCGTTATTTTCGTGTTGGTTCCGTTGTCGTATACCTTGCTTCAGTTGAGAACGTAATATTACTTACTTTGAATGATCAAGATAAACATGGCAGGTTTCGCACTAGCACGATGAGGCTTTCATATCGCAACTTCCCACAACCACACGCTCTCAACACACGCAACCCCTCGTAAACATAGGAAGACCATATATATTGATGGGACTTTGAGCAAAACAAAACTTCTATTCAAACGAAATTTATTTATTAACCAACTTACTAAGGGTTGATCAAATTTAATCAATAATGCGTTCAGAACGTTACACAGGAAACAGAAACGACTGTAAGATTTCTCTCTCCCAGAGTCAGGTGTTGTCTTCCATCTTTTCTAGGAAAGGGAACGTTGAAGACGCTAACCCAGATATGTGGCCAATATTGCAACACTTGGTGTGCTCTGTTTTCCATTTTAGAAAGAGTTGTTTCATCTGTCATTGTGGAAAAATATTGATGATTTTCAAAGATGAGTCACAGGTTACTGACACACTCCTTCCATACACATGTACTTGTGGTTCTTCTAAAGTGATCAAACATGCGCTTGTACACCTCCTCTTCTAGATTTCGTCATTTTTCTCGATTACTTTAGAATACCCTTAGTAGCCGCCTAGGTTTAACAAAATGGCCATTAACATCACGAATGTGTGATAAACGGACGAAACAGCTATATGATGCAATTTGATTCTTAATTTAGCAATACTATATTTAGCTCTATTTTTTAAAGTTACTATTCACTTGTTTGCCTTTAGTACAACATTTAAAATAAATCAATCTAACGTTCGTCCATAATGAATGGCAGGTGCGATTTGTGAAGTTGCAATTCAAAAACAAAATATCTGCAAAAATGACAATTCGTAATGCAAGTGGTCATTAGGATTTAACGTCTTAACAATTTCGGTGAATTACAAACGATCTCCCCAGTATTTGACAGAATGGCGCTATTTGGCGACTAAGTAAGTCATATTGCAAAGAATCCATGACGAGCTGGCATCAGGTTAAATTGTTTCTCTATGAATGTGGTTTCATGACCTGATATGGTGTCGGTAGCGGTGCTGTGGATATCCATAAAAAATCAACCAAATCCTAAAATGCCAACATAACCACAATCTAAACTCAAATTCAATGAAACTAGCGCAACATATAAACAAAAGAAAGATTTACACGGAGACTCTGAGAATATGACCAGGTGTTCCAGAAGAGTAAGCACCTTCTGCTTCATCGATGACACCCGCAATGTAAAGCTTGGTCATGTTACATTCTTGAATGAGAGCAAGGTATACAACAACGGAACGAACAGGTACACTTTCGAGAATCAAACACGTCTTGGTTCATTTCGGACAAAGAAATTTCATATGTCTCAATGA